GTTGATTAGACGAAAATCACCTTAATTTGATAAGAGAATCCTAAGACTGATTTCCTTCCTTATTCCTTGTATTTGAGGATTTGACGTCACCAACACTTCCCTCTCCCCTTTTGTATAATGAATTGTTGATAACAACCCTGGTGTGTCTTATACAATCGTCTGTGACTTTATCACGGATTATTATGGAATAGAAAGTAGAATATATCAGATTTCTTTTACAGACCTATTATACTAACGTGTTATATATATATATATATATATATATATATATATATATATATATATATATATATATATATATATATATATATATATATATATATATATATATAGTGTAAAAATACTTCGATAAATCCATATAACTAAGAAACCTTTGGGAATCTAATTGATGTGTATTATAATAAATTTACTGAATATTATCGTATGTTATGTCTGTCATTTGAGGGTAGTTTTCACTTCGCTAAACAGTTACACTTTTTGTAAGCGGTATTGGCGTGCGGTTAGTTTATCACCAGATGTACAAGTAGTGACTTTTTGACTAGCTGATTGAAAGCACGTATAGTCAATTACTTGCAATATGCACGTCTGCTTTTGAAAGGGATATTTCAGAGCTGTAACTTAAGAAAAGAAAAACAACTTTGTATCACTCCCTTTGATAGGCAGTTTAAAAATTATTAGGAATGTAAGTGGCGTGTGTGATTAATTCTAAATAAGGTTTTATTTATGTTAAGATCATAATGCGTCAGAATTGCCAAAACTTTTGAGTGAAGTGATCAACTATTACTCAGCTACTCCATTCGATGTTGTTAAACTAAGAATTGATGCAAGTTAGTTTCGTGTTAGCATCTTATACTTTTAGTTGTATCGAAGTAGGATTTATAGTTATGAACTGCTGACCTACAGCTCAAGTTACATGCGTCTAGTCATATGCAGACAGGTGGTTTCATTAAATTTATTATCACTATTGCTAAGGTTATAATACTTTAGAATTGGCAAAGAATTTTAGTTTCCCCCAGTTGGTATTCAAGGTTCGATTGGTTACTGCCGTATGTCCATCCTGAGCGGATTGTCTTGGTATAGCTTTGTGCCACAATTTCTAGTATAATTTAATGTATTGCTAACAGTGATATCTAAATTGCGGATTTTTTATATTTTGGGCTGCTCACACAGATGTACATCCACAGTATTAAAGTTCACATTTAGACTCAAACTAAATACCTTTCATCTGCAACGCCTAACGTGTTATCCAATGAACCACTGAGGCAACCTGCTAAGCATGTACATGTGGCAACAAACATTGATCAATTGCAGTCCCGAATTTCAACAGCAGGAAGTTAAAAGCTTAATAATATCTCCATATCTGGTTGAGGCGAAAGGTACCGTTTTCGAGTTTTAATATTGGAAGTAATACCGGAATCCGGGTATAGTCAACTAATGTGTCCAAAACGGACGAAACACATGTCATGTGTTCCACTGCTAACCACATATCAAATGTACTGACACTAGGATTTTGTGTTATTTTGACCTAACTTATATCATTTCTCACATTTACCATGTTTTTCAATCTCAATTATGATTATTTACGGGCTAAAAACAATGTTGATCAAATAAAAAACTAAAGAGCAACAAAAAGTTTGTTTGCTATCAATCAAATGTATATAACATGTGACTTGTGTGCAAATAATTTTTTTTCAGTTACATTTTTCGTACTTATTGTTATATGTAATGAAAACAGGCCGTATGTTAACTAATTTATATGGTTTTTTGAGAATTCGATACATGCAATGTGTGAGTTATCTTTGATATATTTGGTACTTGAATGCTTGACGCTGACTTTCTAATTACTTCGCAGTCCTCCATAGGTTTGCATTTGAACCCTGTACACAAGGCAAAAAGTGGGAAGCATGAAAAAAGCTTTACTTCTGGTATATATGTGTAGTTGACAGCAAGTTTTACTAGGAGTTAGCGCAAATTGAAATACTGAAAATATCTTTCTAAGTACAAATGTCAAGTTTATTCAAGTTGAGCTTTATGGCTTCTGCTACATAGAGGTGATATAAACCTGGGTTACCTATCAAACTATTAGGAACTTGTTATAAAACCGAAAGTCCCTCCACTAGTTTGATATGATGTTTACTATCTATCAACCAGAAAAGGGACTTAGTTTTTGAACTTGTAATCCAGTATTTTAAATTCCAAGTACTTGGGTCACTAAACCATAGCTCCATACAACCTTTTTGTTCAAGGTGTATGAACTCTATTATTCATATTTATTAAATTCTGGTTATATTTAAGTTTGTGAATAACTTCTACATATAGTAAACAGAAGTATCTTGTAAAACATCAAGGTAGTTCCGTATATGTAATGTGTCCGGATGTGTATGTCTTCACTCACTGATTAATCCTAGCTTACAATTTAAACTAAATTGAAAATTTTGACTCAGTCACCGCATGATGTGAATGTCTCGTATTCGATGCTGTGTAGGTTTATGGCTCAGCACTTCTGAAAACGCGTAAATTTTAAAGAACGTATGGTTAAGAAATCCCTATCTTAATCTTATGCTAGTTAGTGGTGTTAAGTTTGAAAAAGGTGAAAAACGTGATCGACAATTTGATGAGCACAAAAACAATGATTTGAGCAGAATGACATAAATAGCTTTTGTTTCTCCAGGTTCTCATTTCTAAGGTTACATGCATCTCCAATTCTTTTTAATTCGTAGTTCTGTTTTTGACTAAGTAACCTCAACTCATGTTATTTTCAATCACCATAAATCTGTATTCAGCTATTTCATTTATCTAAGTAGTTTGTTCGTTCATTGTATGATGTTTTGTTAATGTTTTCGGATATATTCATGAATCCTCTCGTGCACATGGTATTCATTTGACACATTTTTTTCAATCTTATTAATTTCATTTAAATCTACGCCGCACCACTTTGAACCAACTTCAGCTATGTTGTTGTCATAAAATCCTAGAGTTTGTAAAAAACTGGTAAAGTTGTAGTGAAATTAGATAGATTTATGTTATTTTGTCGAAATCCTTTTTCATACTGTATATGATAGAAATCAATGTTTAATCATAACTAACATGATTAAATAAATAAGTCTCTTGTTGTGAATTTAAGTAGGGTCGATTTTTACCCTGTGCTAATTGTTGTGTCCTTGACTGAAAAATTAGAGAGCAGCGTACTTATCGACCGATTACAGTGACACGTAAACACGTACGGACGGCCTAGAGTCTCTATTGGTCTCGCTTCCCTGTCTAGCCCAGTCAGTTGAGTCCAGAACACAAGTCACAGCCTCGGAGATATCAATCATTATATTTCAAACATACTTTGTTTATATACCCATCAAGCATACCACATCGTACCATAAAATAGAAAACAACATTTTGTACAATATTCAACAAGTGAACAGATATCGACCAATAGGAAATGTCCATTTAAAGTCCAAGGACACCATTGGACGTAACATGATAATTATTGGTCTATTCCTCCGCATCCACAACATCTCTCTTTCATAGATCTAATCTTTTTTACTTTTCTCAATATTGGATGTGTTATTCATTTCATTTAGTTATTCCTCATTTCATTAATATTTTTAATACATCTGTACTTTTTTTAAACTCCTGTAGTTCGGTAGTTTGCCTTTTAAATGTTCACAATTAATTCATCCTTATTCGAACAAAATAATTTCCTTTTTTCCTGACATTTTTGTGTGTGTTCACACGTGAATCAATTTGAAAAATTAATGTCATGCAGGCTTATTTCATGTGACTGACCCGTAATTTAAGCTGAGTGAATAGGGGTTTAGTAAATTCCTTTTAAAAATACAATTGGTGCAATTCATTTTTACGTGTTAGTGTTTCGTGAACGATAACTCAAGTGGAGATAACCAGTTTGTTGTTTAATACGAAACTATAGAACATCTTGCTAAAATATGAGAACCATACACTGAATACTTCATTTGCAAATTCCCATCATTTATCCTTTACATTCTATCTGATTCTTTTCTATCTCCTTTTCTATTTTCTTCAGTTCGATCTTCTTAGCCTTCTGCTGTCAGCTATTCAACTTTCGACTGGTGTTGCATACTACTTATATCGACAGAAATAAGTATCGTACACTACAAGTGGACCATTTGTATTATGCCTTAGCGTTGTTACGTCATATCACTTACTTTGTCGTCTCTTGTTGAACAGAATATTGTTTTCTTAAAGTAAAATAATTTTAACAATTTAATGAAAAAAAAAACAGGCTCATTTATTTGATATTATTGTATATTAGCTAAGATTTTATGCTTAAAGAATGACCATTGTCTATCCAATTGCCCTATTTTCTCACATGTAACTTATGCAACAATCTATATACATAGTGGGTTTTTGTCTTCTCTTTTTAGCGTGTTTATACACATAAATTGGAATCGTTCAAATCAAAGTGTATTTTTGTTTTTGATGGTTGACTTTATAAGTAGTAGTTGTATCACGAATATTTTCTTTATTTAGTTTCTATTCGTCAATAAATGTAATTATGAGTAGTTTAGTGTACGAAGGACATGTAATAAGTTAAATTATTTACGAGCAATAAATAAACTTGGTATCCTATGCTATCGATAGGTGGTCATTTCCCAGAATTCTATACTATTTAGGCCTGGTAAGAAAAAAGTATCTGTAAGTTTAAAGAAACTTATACTACACTTAAGCAACATCTGAACTTGTATTGTTTAGTAGTCCCAACTTACTTTGTCATCATTTGACTTGTTGTAACAGTGAAGACGTATGTATACATACTAATATTATAAAAAACACTTATTTCGTACCTACATATTGACTATTTTGATCTTTTTTTTAGTTCTATCGTTCATTTACTAACGATATGATAAAATTTCACTCATAACTTATTATTTATCGTTATTTTAATTAGCAACTCTGTTATTTGTTTTATATAGATAAAGCAGAATGTGTTATCCAAATTTGTTTGTTTGTTTCTAATTTTGTTTTAGAATGGCATTAAGCCCCCTAGGTGCTAGTGGGAAACCAGTTACTTTGTTTTCAGTTTTACCATATCATCGTAAAACAACAGGATCTCACTTCAGGTAAAACTTCTTAAATTCAGTTGACTAACTTTAGTTATTTCTTGCAAAGTTTTAAAGACGTTTTACGATTAGTCAACCGATTTGTTGATACATGAGATGATAGAGAGGATTTGTAGCTTAGGCGGTGGATATTAAAGATATTGTGCTCTCTGAGATTTGTGTTTTGGTATCGTAAACCTTACATTGTCTGTCTAAACTATATCATCAATGTATACTTTTTGAAGAACTGTTAAAAATATATGTTGATGTCGTCTAGAAAGATAGTGAAGACCTCAAGGTTTCAGGTAGTTGCTCTTATGCTCTTCAGTCTTATAATCTTAACCAAGCCCTTTGTGTGGCCATTAAACTAAGCACTTTTGGATATTAATGTAACATATCTGATATCAAATGTCTCGTCGAAACTCAACATGTAGTGTCTAATTTATCTCCTGCGCTTCTGGGCGTACCCATAACGCTTAGGACACGCGTAATTTCGCACAGATCTGAACCTACATCAGTATTGAAGTCTGACTTTATTACTTAGTTGTTCCTAAGATGCACTGAACTTTCGTAGTCCTTGCTGATGCTATGCGTTTTTTAAACAGATTATCTATCTTAGTAGACGGTTTAGTCAATTGGTGTTGTTAACGGGACGTAGACTGTATTAAAGCATGCTCAATGCACGATTGCTTCGGTGCACGCTGATTGACTAATTCTTATCCAATTGGCACTAGTCGATAGTTCGAGAATACTCTAGAATCTTCTCATGTAAAAACTATAAATATACTGACGTTTTCCCTATTATGCTTCTTACTTGCATCTTACTTCCATCTAACCTTGTTATTTGGAATATAATCTCTTTCCTGTTCAACCGTGTTCTGATTTGGGGTCTTGTCGAGTGATTGGTGTCCAAGAATATTAAGCAATAGGTATAGCTGGGTCATACCGTAAGAAAGAGAGATTATAACAGGTGTTAAATAAAATTCATTCAAACAACTGTTTATATTGATAGTTAGATTAGAGAATAGGTTTCTTATGTAATAATCTCAAATTATTTTGTTTACTTTGCTTACTTTGATGAAGAAACAGCTGTTGGTGTCGCCATGATGCAATGAGTTGGGATTATGATAAACACATCTTTTCTTGGGGAACTTGGAAAAGAAATAGCATCATTATTAATTGTCTCATCGATCCATGAACAGTGACAGGGAAGCTTAAAGAATAATTATTACAGCGCGGTTAGATTTTCTTGGAAATATTTGTTCTCACCTCTATATTGTTTTGTTCTATCGGTAGCATTTGACAACATTTTCATACTTAATCATTTGATAAACACTTTATGTATGGTTCTTTTATTTAGAGTTGGACGTCGTCATATCCTTCCTCCCAGTTCCCACAAACTTTCTTCAGGTGTGCAACAGTTTCAGTCTCCCGCAAGTTCAGCCCGCCTACCACAGACTTCTATATCCACCGGTGTTACACATGTTAAAGATCTTAACCCTCAATCCAATTTTGTTCATAATGTGTTAAGTCTTAGCTCGTTTCGACCTGTTAATGGTGAGGTAAAGAAATAAACGTATAAATGTGTTATATGATTCTACTCAATCTAGATCGAAAATATACTAGATTATATTATCGTTATTAATTAACTAGGAAACTGTACAGATATGGTAATTTATCTTTATAGGTTTAATTCTGGGCTCTATAGGTTGCACTAACTATTCTGGTGATGACCTACAAACTAAGAGTGAATAGTAGGAGTTCGATTGGTACTTATTAGCGTATGGTACCAGTGAGATTGACAAAATTTTTGCTTCTTAATTTAGAGCTTAATAGTGTGTTCTACTTGATTGACTATACAGCTGTTAGACTCAGTCTCTGAAAGTAAACAAATCAAAAGGTTTTTGTCATTCAGTCGTAGCTATTTATTAAGCAGCAATCTCTTGTGGTGAAACTACTAAGTAAATAAAATTCAGGTCAATTATAAAGTATATCATCTTTATAGATAGTTCTTTGGAACGCAAATCCCTCAACTGTGGCGTTTTGTATATGAATGGACATTGACCTTGCCTATACTTCCATGGGGATATAAATTATCCTTATGTTAGGGTTGCGTATTGTTGTTGATTGTAAAAAACAAGCGTAGCTTACGTATTATCCTCGCAGTATACAGACTGGGGAGTCCTAAGTAGATTTGATCAACAATCACATGTACTTGTCAGTGAAGTGTAAAATATCATTTGATGTTATTTCATGACCATTACATATACATAGATATATAAGAAAACTTGTACATCGATCTTTTTAAATCTGGATTATTGGATATAGAATTTGAATTGTGATTTTCATCGGGGATTGACGTCAGTTAGAAAATCATTGAAAACTTGCAAACACTAGATGGTTACTGTTTTATTACTAGTTTAGGATTTCTCTTCATTACACATAAATATATGGAATGTTATATGGTTCTAGGTAGTCGTCAGGAAACTTTGCACCAAAGTTTCCTGCTACTTATCACTCGTCAAAATGTAGTATTTGCAGTCCTAAAGTAAGTGATGCTCCCTGGTAGTTTCGAACCTTGACCATCCAGATTCACAATCTGAGATGTTACCACGAAACTATTCATGGAGCGATTAAATTCATGTAGGAGTCAGGTACTTACACTCATTAGTCACTTTACTCAGACTGGTAGCTACGTTGCAACTTGGTCGGTCGAATTTGACCAGCACTGAGGACTAAACAAACACGACTTTAGTCACTTCTCAGTGATCATTCATTGCACACACATGAAATCAAAATCGGTTTGGCAGTGCTTAATGATTTGATTAGTTTTCCAGATATCATGAGTCTCCATTAAATTACTTATTATTAATGATTATTCAGATTTTATTTTACAATTCATTTCGGATAAATGTCATGGATTTTGTGCTTGTATCTCCACTAAATATGGGTAGTCGGATAACACAGTTACTATATATATGCTGTAATATTGATATAGTTCACGTGATATTCTCACAGTTCTTAATCTACTAATCAAAGCACCAAAAAAGACCATTATAATTTCATGCATTATTCTGTTTTATCCAGATTCGAAAAGCTGTCATAGTCATATACATAAAATACAAGATTACAACACATTGTACTTAATAAATGTCACTACGTACATAATCAAGATATTCATGATAAAAAACCAAGTAATAGGTTTGTGTATTTTTGGGATAGTAAAAAACACAGCAACAGTTAGTGTGTTAAACGAAAGCCCATAGTTAGGAAATTCTTACGTACCATGAACCGGTTTTTAATAAATGGGAAAAATTTATACTTGACATATATTACGCTTGGATACTTAAATATTGACTTCCTAACCGCTTTCTAGTCCCCAGAAATCTACTCGTGATCCTCGAGCAGTAAAAAGTGGGGGAGTATAAAAGCAGCTTTACTTCGACGGTTCGTTCATTTACAGAAACACAACGGTTTTCATAGTTATGCGTTATTTTAAGGTTCTCAAAGCCTCTAGAAAACATTCTAAAATTAATAAAAATGTGGGTAATTGTCCACCAGGATAATGAAAGCACCCTTTAAAATTTTTAAAAAGCACTTTGGTCGAAGTATTCTCAACATTTGCAGGTCATGTAAAGACATTATTAAATGATTCTAACAATGCTGAATCTTCAAAGAAAAGTTTTGAAAGTTTGACATTTACAATTATTCACCCTATCCGAACGAATCATTTTAAATTGTTGGGCTTAAGTTATTCTTTTCATCAGTTGGTGATCTAATAATATTACCTTGGATTCACTAGCACACTTACTAAAATTCGTAGTTAAGTATCATATTCTTTATACGCAAAGATGGATGGCTTCTAGCGGCGGAATCCAGGACGCGCGTTTCGTTCGATTTGGGACTCGTCAACTGGATGTACTTGTATCTCATAGTTGATATTCGGGACTGAAACCCAAGTACCGTTCGCTTTAAACAGCATCACATTATCCACTTAGTTACTGAGTCCTGATAGCCACTAACTTGTGCAATGGGCTGAAATTTAAATTCATTTTTGCTTATAATGCTTGTGACTTAAGGCAATATCGAGGCAATCCACACAGAATGCACATATACCAACAAGAGGTTGACCAAATGCAGTCCTAAACATCATTGGGAAGATTCAAACAAAAATGCAAAATTAATTTATAATATTTTTTTCTCGAAAACCACTCTATTATTCATCCTATCCTTTAGCATACCTGTGATTTGACAAATGTTCTGTGCATTTTGATAAGTTAACACATTATTGTCGCTACTTTCATTAGTCGTTATTTTAATGCAAAACTTCAGAATCTGTATTGTGTTATCTTTTTGTTTACTATATTCTCAGACTATTTCATATGCTCATTTCATTCAACCAAATTGCCAATTGTCAAAGAATACTGTAAAAGTTGGGCATCCAATCGATATTCTACTAAATTCAGGTTTCAGATCAAATTGTGATTCGTTTACTCATTTTCACGAAGGTGAGAATAGGTCATTTAACAATCAGTGCATAATAATAATAATAAACGTTTTCCGCATCGTTTTTTGTCTTTTTTATATAAAAAGAATTTTCCTAGTTCTGGTTGAATTTTAATCTTATTACAAATCTCTAGGATTTTGGTTTGCGATTTTTTCCCTCACTTTTTGCAATTGTAGTAATGTTACATGAGTTAGCTAGTGTTGAATGTTTGGTTGTAATGGACAGGTGATCTATAGTCGACACTTTGTTTTTTAATTTATTGCTCATCAACATGTTTAAGTGAGTCTCGTCAACTTTTAATCACTTCAATTCGATTTATTTAATAGTAAATTAAATAAAATCTTAACATTGACTTCTTTCAGATTAATTGTTATATCATTTACTAACTATTAACACATCACCTTAGTATAATTTATTATAACCTTGATATTTAAAGTGATCAACGGAAATTCATGAACCCAGGTTTTGTAATCGTTATTATTCATTATTACATCTTTTGATTATAGTGTAGTGTACTTTAGTTGTTTACTGTTCTTTTGTTTTAACATCAAAATGTGTACGTTTATTAATGCATTTCACTTGATTACTAATTTTTAACATCATTGGTAATTTTAGTCAAAATTAAAATTTCTAGTGTATACATCAACAATCTCAAACACAATTTAAAATGTGCATGTTGTTTTCTGTCCATATATGCGCTTATTTCGATGTACTGTTTAGTATTTATTTATACATATCATATCAGTCAATTTGATTGCTTCGTGACCATTATGCATATAACATTTGATGGAGGTCAATTGTGTTTCCTGAGTTTACACACTAAGTTCTTGACGAGATTTGTCTTTAGTTTACAACAAATTAGTGATATTATGAAATTTGGAGTTATATAAAATCATCTTAGTGAGATAGTGAGATCATTAGTTTAATAGAGATGATTACCATCTAGTTGTTGCCTAAAGTTAGATTTTGGTAGATGCTCATTAATTTATGCTATTCTGCTATATATAATGATTGACAAGTACATTTTCAACTGCCTGGAAGCTCTGAATTTCGATGTGGTCCTTACATTTTCATTAGACCGTATAATTCAGCAAGTTGTTTTTACAGTTATTAACAACTACCATATAACTGGTTACCAAGCTGAACTTGAATAATTTTGTATCGGCGAAGCAGTGGCTTAGACATTAGGACGAGCGAGTTTCAACTACCATGTCGCAGACTAGAGTTCCCTTCCATTTTAGTTTGGGTAACCGGTTAATATCACCAGGCGTCAAAGTTGAGTATACGAATTTATACTTGGGGGGTTACTTTATCATCCTAAAAGCAACGTGTTAGATGACTAAACATTTGATAATCATGTTTGAGATATTGTCTATGTAAATGAAAAATCTCTTTAAAAAATTTAATATGTGGGGATTATTTCGTAAGATACAATCTTGTAGGTAACATATTTAGGAAGTCATTAACCACTACCTGGTAACCAACAGCATTATGTCTATCTCTGAATTTTAATCCAACTTTATTGATCAGGTTTGCAGTGTCTGGTGTATTTTAATATTATTCGAATATTCTTTTAGTGTTGAGTAAAATATTACAGAGGAATCCATGGATCTCTGTTTCATACTTCAACATGTAGTCTTCATCATTCGGTATCTCTGACTCATATCAGTTGGTGTCTTGAAGACATTTTCACTGATCAATAGTATGCTCAACACGAGAGATACATCTTGACCAGTGATTGTGTAGATTCAAGCTTTCTGAAGTCGTAAAATAATAATACTATTTATGCAGATGTTCTTTTTTCACGGATCGACATCGTTTGGGGAACCAATGAAAACCCAGGAGTACTGGATGACCTGTCTTATCCTAGTTTTAGAATACTCAAAAGTATGCATTTACTACTCAATCAGAAATTCAATGCATGGCTTCCAGATCTTGTAGCGGATGGGTTATCAAGGACCACTGAGATGAGATTCAGTAGTTGTCCACTTTTTTTCCTTTAACGTTTTTCATATTAGATTACATTGTTATTCATGTTTATTAATCTTGTGCGTATGTATCTGTCAATTATGTTTTCATTAAACACGGAAGTACTATTTTTGTTAATTATAAGTGTAAATTGTAAGCTAAATGAACTCAGGGTTGATTTATTTCATTTTTTTGTGGAAATAATTAGTTCTATGTGCTTATTTTGACTAAACAAATTTTAATTTTCTCTTTTTTTCATAGCTTCTGCTATACTTAACTCGAATTATTCTCGACGTAGCTTCTTGAGTAATTCTACAGTAATCCCTTCGTCTAATACACATTGGCATCATTCTACGACGTCATTCAATAGGCAACGCAATCCTAGTTCAAGCAGTACAAATTGTAACGTTTTTGGTAATAATTTATCCTTATTGTCATCTATAGCTTTAGGTTATCCAGATCCATTGATAAGTTATAACCCATTTCTTTTGGATGATCCGGAATTATTAGTTTCAACAGGGAAACGTGTATTAAAACTTCCGAACTATTTGGTGAGTTGTTTAAATTATTCGTACAATTGGTCGTCTATCATTTTTATGTAGCTATTTTGTTACTGATGCTTACGTGACTGAGTGGATTGATGCAATTTAATAGTAATAAATGGTAAATTAAATTAGAAAAAATAAACCAATTTAAGCTACAATTGATCCTACCCAATACTTTATGTCTAATTGAACCTCACATTTGATCTGGGACTGTGGCAGTATTGATATCAAACTTTATGAACTCTTTTAAGTTGACTCTATACACTGATCAATCTGGTTTAAATATCTGTTTACCTTTCACTTTTACGGGAACATCTTTGTTAAGTGCAAGGAGAAAATAAAACCTCTAGGAAATGTTATAATTAATTACACGTTTTTCCGACCTAACATTTTTTTACTTTATTCAATGGGACTATACTTTCTTATACAAAAATTTTGACTGGACTGCGAATTATGGGAAGCATTCTAACTAGTACAGCCTAGTTGAGATCACTACCAAACGTTCTTCATTCTCTTACTGGTTAGATGTAGTCGATAGAAAACCCTGTATCTAGGTTTTCAGCAGAACGGAGTAACTGTTTCTCATTTGCAAAGATTGAACAGTTATACTTTTGTAAGATATTCACTGTTTGTCAACAGCTATGTTGGTGAACAATGCTCTCCATTTGGATTAAGCCAGTTTCAAGCAACGTAGGACCTGCGGTACATTTATGCATCGGTTCAAATTCCCACGCCATATGAAGCAAAACAGTAAGATGAAATTATCATGATAAATGCCAAAATAGTAAAATTAGTAACCATATCAGTGGTACTGAAAAACACTTAGCATAGGGTTTACGATGTAAGAAAAAAGAGTTGTAGAACAAAGTGAAAGACCGATTATGATTCATTTCACCCAAAGTCTACAATATCTTTCGTAGTTATCGCGCGAACTCCAAACACTTAGTCTGCACCTACCATCATAATTCAATCCAATAGTCAGCGACTTCACGGACTGATGTCACGTCTTCGTTTGGCCGTCCCTAACTTTCTTTCAGTCTTCTACCATAGCAGCAAACATCGCACGTCTTGGTAAGCAGTGGGTGGTCATGTGTAATACATGTCTCAACCATCTCAATTGATGATTCGTGTGTTCTTTGTTTGATCTCATTTTAACGATGAATCACTTCACACTGATTCATTGATTGAATCAACATCATACTAAACTTTCATGACAAGTGTATGAAATCACTCCTGGTCAATTTTACCAGTGTAAAGAATTATTCATCTTTTCATACAGAAAACATCGTCTCTGGTGGCTTATGGTTCCTCTTGATTTATCAAACTCAATGTAATGTGTTCCACCAAATTATACTTCTATCATTATGATTTATATGCTGTTTTTCAATTTACTCATAACATTACAGACTAGTGTTTTGGGATATATTCGACCGAATGAACGTAAGCGTGAAGTCAATCGACAATTCCATGAAAGATTTCCATCAATACAAATAACATTAACGAAGTTGCGTAGCATAAAATTAGTGTTGGTACAAATTGCTCAACGCGTTAGTTGTTCTTTTTTTAAATTTCTATTTGAGTGGTGTAGTTTTTAATTTATTTTTTGTGGTTTAATTTTGACCGAGATACTTATATTCATTCAAATAAAATCAGGATATTTAAAAAAAATTTCAAACCTAAATTTTGTCTCAAATATCACTTCATTTCATGGCAGATATTCCTTAAAAATTGTTTTTGCGTACCTTTTTCTTCTCGAGAACCACCCGTGTTATTTGCATTTTCAAAAAAACATGCTCTTTATTCAACCAATCCACGGTGTTGCGCGACTTTCCACCATTGTCTTCAGTGAGTAACTGCCTCACAATAGACACGGATTGGACTCCATTGGTCACGGTTTCTCACCAGAACTCCAGGAAATCCATCTTGAAGCCAGTCACTAGTGAACATAAATATATGTACTAAATCACCATGCATCGTTAATTAGGAGTCACTAATTTATCCCGATCTTCTTTTTGTGTATTTTTAGGAAACTGATTGTTGACATCCTTTGAATTGACTTAATAATATTTTAACATTCTTTTCTTTAGATTATTATAATCTTAGAACCGCGACTCACTAATGTTTCACTGATTTCACTTACATTGTTTGTTATCCCGGCAAATTTATTTTTATTAAATCAGCCGAATGATAGTTTAATTTCAGCTCAGTTCTTTTCGAGTATATTGGATTCATTACAGCCTCGTAATTTTCTCATTCTCATCTACAATGACCGTCACTTAACAAGTTGATAATTTAAACCATAGAACGTCTACTATAAAGTTATTGTTGACCTTCTGTCTCTATGTGCTTGTCCTTTTTCATCAGTCGAATGATCGATTAAACCAGATCTTATTCTCCTATTAATAGTAACTGAAACATACAAGTCTCGCGCATAGCAAATGAATTTTTTACCTCAATAAATATTTTATGTAAATTCGTTCAACTGTTTTTTAAAAATAAAATCATTAATCCAATCTATAAATTGTAAGGCTAAATTTACATACGATATCATTTTATACTTTGAAAGTTGAGCTACTTATATTCTATTTAGTAATATTATATATCTCATTAAATTGGTATGGTAATAATAATAAGTATAATAATTTTGTATATATGAAATTCTAATTTTCAGTTGTCTATGGACCTATGGATTGTTGCACATGCTCATGTGCTTTTCGAAAAATTAGTACTCAAGGTAATATTTTGTTCATTTTTGTTTGAATCTCATTGACATTTTAATGTCACTGATTGCTTTTCATTCACCATGAAAATGTACAAAGGGAACTAAAGGATTTTTGCCAAGTTAACAAAAAATTATATTGCCTAATATAAATTAATAAGGAAATATTAAAGTCAAGTGGTTACAACATGTACTAGTTTCTTTGCGCTAACGGCGAATAATGGTAATTGGACTTCATACTTATAACAAAAGGGAATAATTTCGCGACCAGAATCACTATTCTTGATTGGCGATATGAGAAAAAGAAATTATGGAATAAAAGTAATATATAAATATTCTAGTGACGCAATCCTGTTGAAATTTTCAGTGTAGGTTATGTTGTCGTTTACTTTCCACTTCGTTCACAATGACTTTCATCAGTAATTCATTAACTCTCGGAAATAAGTGTTATTTTTCAGAGACCCTATCGTTTTTGATGTTGTGCCAAATGCAATCTCATTTTTTGAATATATAGGAGTCAACTTCCTATGCTTTGCAGATTAGTTGTTATTACTAAATATATTTTCAATCTATTTCCGAAATTCTCCTATCTGCTCACACGATATTTTCTAACTATTTGTAACCCTTTTAAATATCCCTTTCATTTGATATATATAGTGATGCATCACATGATTTTTGCGTACATTCACCTGAAATCATAAAGCGTTCCATATTTTTTCGGATTTGTTAGGCATCGAGTCTACGTAGGGATGCTCTGACTAGGGCTGCAAAATTTGCGCAAACATTTTGGGCAGGGGCCCCACTTTTTCTAGAAGAAGCGTTCTGCTCTCTTACATAGGGATGATTTGTTTGGCAGGGTCGTCATACCACATAGTATTTTCGGTAGGCCATAGAGTCTGATAAGAGAGAGCGAAACACATGTTAGCAGGACAATTTTGAAGGTAACGTTTAGTAGTCAGAATCTGCATTCAACAACAAAGAATATGTTTTCTAACTATTCAGTATACAGGTACTTCGTTTTATATGTCTATTTATCTGTCACTACTCCCTCTAATTTCTTCGATAAATCAGATTGCTTCGTTTTTCTGGTCCGTAGTAAGGAATATACTATAATTTAACTACAAGTATTCTCTCTCAGCTTGTACGAACTACGTAAAAATAAATTACGTAATGATGCTTTATTAGAACACCGGGAATCCTCATAATTATTAATGTCTAACATGGTGAGATTGTGATCGAATTCTGTCAATGAAAACTCAATGAAGATAGCATATATACGTTCCAACACTGAAAATTTTTAGCCTTCTCATGAAATTATCGATTGATGACTGCCTTTTCATTCGTTCGTAATATTAGCCAACCTAGTTGATGTTATTTGGTTATTCTAACTAACAACAGCTAATAATTGTTCGGAGGGGCCGGTGGTGAAGACTGCTTTATTTCTCAGAAATTCAGCCACAATCGATTGAAAATAGGATCTTTATTTTGAACATTTAGATCCACGCACCTAAACTCGATTTGCATTCCTGTCTACTTGAAGTGTGTCACTTCAATGGCTAATTCTCAAACTCTTGACTTTTTGTAGATTAACTCACAAATTTATGTTTCCTCATGATCGTTAATGATGGAATATAAATTCTTCAGTGTTTATGAGACTTCAATTATTGTTTATGAGGAGGGAGAAATGTTAGTGCGGTAGTATGAAATTCAATCATTGATGGTTGTTAATTGAGTTTTACAGTTGCATTATGCATCAGTTGTACTATACAACAACTATTTTAAAATTCAAATTATCTTATCTGTTAATTTTGTAGTTTCTTGTTGTGTCTTTTGCTTCAATAAGTAAAGAAAACTTTTTATTTTATCTCTTACATTTCGGTTTATAGTTGTTTTTAACAAAATTGAATAGAAGATTATGTGCTTCAGCTTCACTCTTGATCAGTGCGAAACTGAATGATGTAAAAGGTTCACAATTATTCGGTTTACTTCAAGTAAGTTCTTGTATCTATACGTGGTTGATGTTCAAAGAACTCTTTAGGTGTTTTTGTTTGACTGTGATTTTAAATTTCTAGCACAAAGTATAACGGCAAATATCTCTATCGTTCTGTATTCTGACTGAAAAATATTTTTTAACACTATGAAAGTGAATAATGTCTTAACTATACCCTGGTATGGCCGAGAGTGGGGTGGACCCGTCCTCCCTCTCGAAATGCTCTCACACGGCCACGCGTATACAGCCTCTGCCAAGGAAGCCCTGCTCACTACCTTCTCATGGCAGGGGTGTTGTTTACGAAAATGAGAGGACGAAAAGCGAATGTCCGGTGCTTTAACCGGATTCCAAACCAATGGTGCACATGGGCTCCAGTATCTTGCGGGAACAAATAGCGTATGAACCAATCGTTGGTCACCTGCTACCATGGAACTGCATCTCCTCATGATGCTCCACTGCCTTGTGGGTCAGACCTTAAGGTCAAAGGCTCGGGGAGTGGCCCCCTAAGAAAACCACCTGTTTCGGTTTAGGCACCCGGGCAGTATCTAAGCCCTCACACATATCAAGTGAGATTTGTGTGGCGCATATGTATTTGGTACCTCATTGTACCAATATCTATGTGTTAAAATAAATAAAATAAAAATCATCAGTCTATGCAGTTAGAAACCCTGGATCGCCTCTAGGAAACTCAACTTATAAATTCAAAAGAAGTCTGTTTAGTTTCTCTGTTTGCTAGTGTTCGTGATTGAGTCATACCATACATAAGGCACATTGTAAATTCTTACCTCACAATCTACTTTGTATGTTTATTTCCTCCGTGCCTATTCTTAATTCGCGAATAATTTATTTTACTATGCTAGTTGTAACTCAAGAACGTACAATGAATTTGGCTACACCATTTTTAAATAACCTTTCAACTGTGTAAATGAGACATTTTAGACGTCCATAATCGAGATTTAATGTAAAGTTCACTTTTTTAACTCGTTACATTATCGAATTTACTTATGTATTTGTGTATGTATAGCTTATTTTGATCATCATAACACGATCCCGAGGATAAAATCCCTTGTTTTCGAATTAAATATCTTGTTTTTGTTTTCTTGACTATCCCTATCTTTTAAATGATTAACAAAATTCGTCAACCTAGTTATTAATTATCCGTTTTTCATCATTCATATCGCCCTTTGTTTTTCGTAGTTTCGCCTTATAATCATTCAGATTCTATGAAATTTTCAAGATAATTGTTTATCCATACATTTTTTGTGATATATATATATATATATATATATATATATATATATATATATATATATATATATATATATATATGGCATTCGACTCTGTTGATCGTGAGGTTCTGTGGCAGTGTTTGTCACTGAAAGGAGTACCAAAGAAGTACATTAACCTTATAAAGGCTCTCTACTCGAACACAACTGGTCGAGTGAGAGCTTATGACGAACTGTCATCAGAATTGATTACCTCAAGTGGTGTTCGTCAGGGCTGTCCACTCTTGTTCAACTTTGTCATTGACGTACTTTTAGAGATAGCACTCTCCTCATCTAAATTTACAGGGGTTGGACTTCTACCGGGAGGTTCACTTGTTGACTTAGAATATGCCGATGACATAGTTTTATTTGACGAAGACGCTGACAAAATGCAGAGTCTTCTGACCACTCTAAGCAACAATGCAGGCATGTTCGGGATGCGATTTTCTCCCTCGAAATGCAAAATGTTGCTTCAGGATTGGGTTGCATTGACACCCGAACTAATGATAGGGAGTGAAGTAGTTGAGCGTGTCGACCGCTTCACTTATCTTGGAAGTCTCATCAGCCCTTGTGGTCTGGTGTATGACGAAATCTCAGCACGGATACAGAAGGCTCTACTAGCTTTTGCCAACTTGCGTCATTTATGTCGTGGGCAAGATATCCGTCTATCAACCAAAGGACGTGTTTACTGCGCAGCAGTTCGTTCCGTCCTACTTTATGGCAGTGACACATGGCCGGTAAGAGTAGAGGATATTCGTAGGTACTAGTATTCAATCATGGGTGTCTTCGAAACATTGCTCGTATATTCTGGAACCATCGAGTAAGTAACGCAGTTGTTAGGAAAGGGGTACTAGGTAAGGATGGCAAGTCGATTGATGACGTAGTGAAACTTCATCAGTTAAGATAGCTGGGACACGTGTTACGTATGCCCAATAACCGACTGCCTCGACATGCGATGTTCAGTGGTATGGGAGTAGATTGGAAGAAAGCTAGGGGCGGCCAGACCAAAACATGGCACAAATCCATGAAGTCACTGACAAGTGGGCTGAGCCATGTTGGTAGAGGTAGACTACATGGTTGGGAACCGCGAGACGATGGCAACCGATGGTTAGAGACGTTGAATGACATGGCTCAAAATCGTTTGGAATGGCGCAGGTGCATCCACTCTTTGTGTTCTCCCAAATTTTTAATCTACTGATTCCTCCTTGTCTTTTTCTCTTCCCAAATTTATTTCACTGTATTATAATCTTTAAATAACATCTCCAAACCCTAACCTCTCGATTACTGCTTATACTCTTACTACCTCTACCACTACGGGATTGGAATCGACAACTGCATCTCTGTGGTAATGTGGTATGGCAACTCGAACTGATGTACGTACGTACGAAGTTCTACGTTGTTACTGACCGACTGACTGATATTGTAAAGTATCAATAGTCTAACTACGAAAATCTGTTAATTTCATTGTGTACTGTCAATAGGATACATTTATAGTAGGTTGTCTTGTAAATCCCCTGAATGCTTATGTTGATGAAATTGATGAATGGGTAATAGAATCTGAGTTTTTTCGCTGTATAAATGAGTTACTTGATAAAATGTTATAATCCTATAGACTAAAATTATCAAGATGTGTTCCACTTATTTTAAATTCTGAATGCATGTAATAAATGTCTTGAGACTTCTTATTTCGATGTGGAGTGGTACCTTACATAGGAATAGACTGAAAATGATCTGAAAGCTCAAGCCGTACGGAAGAGGTGCAGAATTAATAGTCAGACACTTAATTACAGCCACAATATTTTATTTTAAAAGTTTGGTGACATAATTCGTGGCGTTATTGCAGCTATATTTTCTAGCTTCCAAGTCTTCCCAGTGTCAGTTTTATACTTTTTATTTATTGATCTCGTTTGTTCTCTTGGAATTATATTTAGCTGTCCATTATGATTGATGTTATTTGCCTTCTAGTGTTTCTTTTCTTATCTAAAATTTTTTAAACTATTGAGGCACAATTTACAACACATGGATAATATTTAAGCAAAGAATGTCACCTAATGTATGAGTGTTTGAAATCGTACTACTAATTATTTTATGAACTTTTTACAAAGCATCTGCTTATTTTGATACTAATTACGTCTCTAAAACTTTGTTGAACAATAGATTGTTCATCTGTTCATGTGTAATATGAGTTTGTTATTGTCGGAAGTGATACCATTCTTCTATTCTTGTCTCAGTCATTCTGGTATGGAATTTCATTTTTTTGTCTCATTTAGTTATCATATTTGATGTTCATCTTTTTGGTAGAAGATTCATTATCGCTTTTGTTGTATGTGGTCTTTTCAGCGTTCTTTTTCCTTTGTTTCTTTTTTTAGGAATTGGAGACAGCTTTTCGTATCTCACGTCGTGATTTAATCAACACAGAATTAGATGTTGCATTAGGTTTAGAGTTTTCTCTAATTCCATCTGAATATGAAATTCTACCACATTATCAAAGGTTATATAAAAGTTTGAATTTAACTTTACCATTTCTACCGGTTGTGCTAACCACGAATAATACTATTGGTGTTAATTCTTGTGTTGTTACATCGAGTAATATAAATAATAATATTCATGATGATGATAATAATAATGTTAATAATAACAATGTTATTTGTACAGTGAATGCCGAAAATCAACCATGTCTTGTATATACTGCTTCATCAAATATTTGCAGCACACAAATGAACCATTCAGTTACAAATTTATCACTTAGCCAATGTAATCGTATTGAAATATGAGTATCTTACTATCCTCATGGTTGTTGTTCTTGAAATAACCCCGATTTTGGTAGACCTGTGTATTTTGTGGACTGGATTTATCGATCTCATATCTAGTGCGGCTCACTTTTCGCTGTCTTTTAGTGTTTATTCTTTTATTACTATTATGTCACATTGTTTTTACTGTTGTCACCACTTATTTATACCGTAATGGTGATTATCCATTTTGGTTTATCAAATTTCTTCCTAGTTCCTTACTGGTTTTTTGTTTCTCGCTGATACTTTTATATCTGAGTGGACATAAATTATTGGTTTGACTATATCGGCTTAAGTGTGTTTTTGTTCTTTATTTCACATTACTCTTGTTATTATTTCTTGTTTCTGTTTTGTGAATATTTCAACGTATTCATGAGGATGTACAAGGTTACTAATAACTACATTTGTGTGTTTTTCACAGTGTTCATCTCATGTACTTACATACAATTTTTTTCCTATCGAATATAAATTATGAATTATTGATGTATTTACTCGTAAGTTGTATACATAATCCATAATCTGTTATCACATGCTACATAACATATTGGTGAATAAATCTTTCCAATCGAACTGTGTATTGTGATCGTGTTATGTATCAACCACCTTAGTGATAAAGAGTTGGTCTAAAGTTTTTCACTTATCGGCACTACTTATTAAGATGTACCGTATGCTTTTCTCACTATAAGTTGTTTTTAAGATTTTGATTGAATTTGGTCGTCTATAGCTTAAACAAAATTTCCATGATATTTATCATATCAGAGTTAGATTACTTATATAGTTTTAAGTCAACCATACAACTGTAAACATCAACCGTCAAACAAATCGAATTCAACGTAGAAAAGTCGTTGTCCTATAGTGTTTAGTGAATACAATGCCAGTATTAAAGGATTTCTAAGTAACTCTTCAAAATTAAGTTGATCGTCGTGATTTACCTCATAAGTTTGATAGTACATGAATGAAGATAAGTCTGAACTAGTGTTTTTCAATATCTTGGCATTTCGATCATTGTTCTATCAGTTCATAGAAGGTGAAATCTACTCTAAATAACTTCATAAACCTGTTGATATAAGAAAAATCAATAATTTACATCCTATTGTGGGTCAAAAAAATATATTGGAATGTTATAAACTTGGATTCCGCAAATGTCAACAAAGTAGCAACGTAAATGTTGACTAAATTAAAGAGCGCACACATTTCTATTCAACGCTATATCCTTTATGCAATTGGCTAAGTCTGTGAGTACCAAGAAGACAAAGGGGACACGAAGCAACAACTCTATGTAGACAATGTGTTAATCAGAAAATGAAATTTGATTCATATACTTGCGTATGTGTATCGATAAGCCTGCTGTTGATTTTATAGACCAGTCGTCTGATGACTCACTGGGTAGTTTCAATCCCTTTGTCTGGCCAACGTGTCGTTTTCCACAAATTACAGTGTTCTAGCAAACGTTACATGTCTGAATCAGTTCACCATATACGTTACCTAGCCAATATGGAAGTGCTGGTTGTTTTATACGTTGTACTTCGAATAAGATTATAGTTTTGATTTATTTTTGTCATGAAATAAGTAGCGTTTAACCTTTATATCGTAAAATCGAAGCTCAGTTATGGTCACATGACGTTTGTTTAAGTACAGAAAGGTCACTTTTCAATCAGTAATGTCAATGTTGAAATACTGAACCCTTAGGTATGGAAATATTTAACGTGCTAAATTGTAGTGAATTCTATACCTAGAATTATTTCCTATCGAAATTGACCAGCAAACAAGTAATATACCACCATATAACGAGGGCAATCTATGTGACTTTATCACAACTAAGTGAAAGCGGTTTTAGAGTTTACTCATCTCTCTGATTATCGAAGATTGGTTCAATAACAAATCAACAACAAATATGTTACAGCTTTTTTCAACATTCTGATTGAATAAAATGTACTTTGAAATGGATGAAATCAATCTTAACTGTTTATGTTTACATTTCATCGTTCAATATTTCGATCATTTTACCATTACATGAACGTCTTTTAAATTATGTAGGTATTAAGGTTAACTAAATTTTATTTAGTTACTAATTGGAGACATGAAATAAATCTGTTGAGTTTATTTTTTTATAATTTTCAATAGAATAAACTCTTAAAGCTTACTTCACCTTAATGACAATGTGGCAATGAAAATAACAATAGTACTGGTTTTATCTATTACTACATGTTTGGTCACAATAAAATTGCTAAAAAGGAAGAATCATGACGCATCATGATAAAAGCCGAGATTTTCCGGAAGTCACGAGGCCGACCCCTCTTCCAACAAACAAAGCAAGGACTTTTATAGGTACATGGAATGTCCGGACAATGTGGAAGACCAGAAGGATCAGTCAAATAGCAACGGAAATGAGGAGATACAACTTAGGGTTCCTCGAAATCAGCAAAACCCGTTGGACCTAAGATGAAAAACAAAGGCTAGGTACGGTAGAGATGCTGTTGTACTACGGTCACGAAGAGGAAAATGCTATACACATTTATGGAGTTGCTCTGATGCTGTCCAAAGAAGCACGAAATGCATTCATGGGATGGGCGTCTCATGGATCCGGGATCATCAAAGTATCCTTCAAAATAAAGAGCGATGGAATCCAATGTTATGCACTCACCATGATGACAGTGACGACGATTAAGTTTACTTTTACGAGAGGCTGCACTCAGTTATGGAGGAGTGCCCAAGAAAGGATCTCAACATCCTGATGGGAGACCTAATCACCGAAGTCAGAATGGACAACACTGGATTTGGAGATATCACGGGACGACATGGACTGACTGAGAGAGAGAAACGAAAATGATGGGAGATTTGCAAATCTATATTCATCCAACAAATTGGTTATAGGCGGTACAATATTCCCATACAAACGCATACAGAAAGTTACGTGGATTTCACCGGATCACACTACACAGAACCAGATAGATCATATTTGTATCAATTAAAATTTGAGAAGGACAATGGGAGACGTGAAAACCATGAGAGGTGCTGACATAGCATCAGATCACCACTTGGCACTTAACAACAGCCGACCACGAGCAGAGAAAGTCAAGGCACAAACTGAATACACAAGAAAACAAGTAAGTGAAGAAGAGCATTAAAGCTGACAAGCAGAAATACATGAAAGATCTAGAAACGACCGCGGAAAATGCTTCAAGAGAAGGAAACATGAAACAACCATATAATACAACGGAGAAAGTGGTAGGCAAATATATAATGAGCCAGAGAGACCAGTCAAGGACAAGACAGACACTGAGATTCGAGGACAGAGGAACAGGTTGGTAAAACACTTTGAGGAACTCTTGAATAAACCTGCCCCACTGAACCCACCGGACATCAAGGCAGCATACACAGACCTTTCTATAGATGTCACTTCACCAACTACGGAAGAAGTTAGGATGATCATCAGACAAATCGAGTGGGAAAGCAGTAGGACCTGACAATATACCAACCGAAGCACCAAAGTCAGACATAGAAGTAACTGCAAACATGCTTCACACTCTATTCAGGAAGTTTTGAGAGGAAGGACAAATGCTGATGAACTGGAAGGAAGGATACCTCATCAAGATACCACAGAAAAGAGATCTGAACAAATGTGAGAACTACGGAGACACCACACTACTATCGGTACCGGGAAAAGTTTTCAACATAGTGTTGCTGAGCCGGATGAAAGATTCAGTAGACGTCTAGCTTCGAGATCAACAGAGTGGACTCCGTAAGGATCGGTCGTGCACAGACCGAATCACGACACTACGGACCATTGTTGAGCAATCAATTGGATGGAATCCGTCACTATATATTAACTTCCTTGACTATGAGAAAGTATTTGACAGTGTAGATAGTATGACTATGAAAACGTCTTCGACAATATGGAGTACCTGAGGAAATCGTCAATATCATACGGAATTCATACGACTGAGTAAACTGTAAAGACGCTTATGCAGGACAAGTGATAGATTCATTCCAAGTGAGAACCGGAGTCATGATAGGCTGCTTGCTTTCCTTCTTATTCTTCCCTCTAGTGGTTGATTGGATTATGAAGACCTTCACATGAGGGGAAGCACGAAATACAGTCGACAGATTGGATGCAATTAGACGATTCGGACTTTGCAGATGACCTGATCCTTCTATCCCATATACACATCAACAAATGCAGGTGAAGATAGCCAGTGTAGCAGAAGCCTCTGCAGTAGTAGGCCTTAACTTACACAAGGGAAAAGCAAGATCCTCAAATGCAATACAGAGAACATCAACCCAATCACATTTGATGGAGAAACTCTGGAAGAGGTGAGAAGTTTCACTTATCTGGATAGCATCATCGATGAACGTGGAATATCTTATGCAGACGTAAAGGCGAGGATTGTAAAAACAAGGACAGCATTCCTACAATTGGAGAACATATGGAACTAGAAATATCTGTCAACCAATATCAAAGTCACAATCTTCAATACCAATGTCAAGACAGTTCCACTGTATGGGACCGGAACTTGGAGAACTACCACAACCATCAAAAACGTACAAGTATTTATAAACAATTGTCTATGTAAGATACTCAATGTCCGTTGGCCAGATACCATTAGCAACAGCTTATTGTGGGAGATAACAAACCAACTTCCGGTTGAGGAGGAAATTAGGAAAAGAACGAACTGAGAGTATTTATTTCTTGAACACAATTAAAATCTATGCAACGAATAAGTTTAGCGCATGTAATCACATTAACTCATTATCAGCACTTTTGAAAACAAATAATGCGACATGTTTGTCATAATATTTTGAATAACGCGTATATAAAATACCTACGTAACTTCTGATACTTTATCAAAGTAAACAGTTTTCTTGAAATCATCCAGTAATCTGTTCCTTTAAGCTGTAAGAATAAATGACTATTGTCACTGAGGTAGGAATACTTATTGCTGTGAATTGATACATTTCATATCGTACAGAGAAATTAAATTAACAAGATGACTAGAAGAAAAGAGTAAACAATTTCAAATGGAATGGATAACAAAAGATGACATGAGATTTTTATTGAGGTGAAATCGAGAAATAAGCAGTACTGTCACTTAATTCATAATGTGAAGAAAGAGATGAATTCAACTGTTCTATAGCAATTGACTTTAAGGTATGACGTCCATTGAGACACAACCAAGAACCCTTCACTTACCGACGTGAAACAACTCGCTGACGAAACACTTCATGGATTGTGAATATCGTTTAACCTGTCTGACATTGACTTTTTTCAATCTGCACCTACGTGAACCAGGATTGGATTTTGATGGAGGTGCATTTACCTAGCACCCTGTATCTAGTTTTAGTTTCACTCGGTGATTTCACTATATATCGGCCCTTAAAAGAAGACTGGATATTTGTATACCACTCTTAGTTCATTTGTCAAAGTTTATGAATTGAAGAACGGAAGTAACGACGAACAATGAAAGCTATTTATCGGGTCATTGTCTCGTTTGATCCAAAGTTTGTCAAGTCTTTACATCTAGTTTCATGTTTGACTTATTTTATATCATAATGTCTCGTTTAGTGTGTAA